AGGCGGCGGGTGCGGCGTCTGCGACGCCGTGTTAGGGGAGAAGTTCCCGGACCCGTTACATTTTTGATCAATTGTCTTCTTTTTCAGAAATTTTGTCCAAACATGGCAACCTCCGCAACCCCGCCGAAGTTTCTTATTTCACGCCTATATATCGTATTGCTTTTTTGTTATTTTAGAGTGTCGTGATTTTAGTTAGCAAGCTCAGCTTGATTATATCAAGCAGAGCTTCCTATCAAGTTAGGCATTGTAGGCTCATACTGTGTCTTACAGGTTTTACCATTAAGATATTTCTCTAAATACCTATGGGCTTTCATGTGTTCGAAGCGACAGTACCACCTCCGCCATTACCGGATAATAAAGTGTTAGTATTGTCACTCAATGAGAAGATATTTCATCGGAATTTATAGCCTTCAATAAGCGATCATTTGAAGGAGACGAGGATATTACACGCGTAGTGTACTCTGTGAAGCAGTGAAGCAGGTGATGCTTGGAGCGATGACGGTCACTCAAGCTTCTCGTCACTTTAAAATTCCTCGTACGACTATTCAGAAACATTTCAGGTAGGTATTCCAGCACGAGATTAAAACGGTTTTTTGAATTAATCATTCATCCTTCATTAAACTTCGAAGTTAGGTCAAACAACGATGTCCTTGTAGCTTTTGAGAGCATCGGTTCATTTTAGTGTTTTTAGCAAGGCCCGTGAGCAGCATAACCTCAAAGAACTCTATATTCGACGGATGAAAGCCGCTGAAAAAGGTCTGATCGGTCGGGTTCCTGAAAGCGATCTCGAGCAGCGGCTGTCTGAACATGGAACGGCATGCCTTTTATCATACGGCGTGGTAATTCTTGTATTATGTTGCGAATTCTAATAGTGAATGTCTCATTTGTTTACAATATTTCAACTTTTCTCTTCTCCGATAAGTTCTTCATTGTTTCCCCCTCACAATATTTCAACATTAGGATGTCTGGCCAAGTAGTTCTGAGGGTACACCGGCAACGGTTCATTGGCGACAACAACCTGTTAAAATCGATCTGTCGTCATCGGGCTACTTTCCTCAGGACGCTAGCTCGTACTCCTATGAGAACGAAATAGTAGTGGCAGAGCAGTGCGAGGTAGGCTCTCTCCGTGTTCTTGGATGATTAGCGGTTAACTATCTCTGATTATAACCTTCATGTTCATTCTAATGCTTAACGGCCTACTAATAGGTGACTAGCGATGACGTGAAATATTTCCGTTCTACGAGTCCTATCCGTGCCACAGAAGAAGAGAGTGAGCCGTCAAACGCGGGTTAGACCTATCCCTTAACTTTCTTTGAGCGTTCTCATCGCTTCTTTGATGTTTTTATTTTGTTCTACTGTAAGAAACCTCTTGAGTTTATTGCCTATGTTGTAGGCCTGCAAAGCTATGCAACTGAGATGGTCAATAGACCGTCAACTCGCGTTGTATTGAGACGTGAAGGCAGTGAAGAAGTAGTGAAGGTGGTAAGTGACCAGTTTCGATTTATTGAGTTATTGTTAGCGGTCAAGTTAAATCCAGTGATAGGATTAATCGAGTGAGAAATATCAAACGTCCTTAAAACAAACTTACAGCCGAGATGGCCTAGGAAGGGACTATTTTATTCGAGGTTACATAGCGCTGGAAACAACGCTGTCAATTTTTCATCTTCACATAGAAACTAAAATAATCTGGTGGTTGAGTATGAGATTTTGCTAAAAAGTGTTTCCCACCTTTCTCATTCTTAATGGCGATTGGATTTTCAAGTGTTTTTTTTTTCAGGTTGTGTTACCACGATTGACTCCTGCTTCTCAAGGACAAATTTCTTGACGAATTAGATGTTCCATTGTCAGTGATGCTATTTGCTATGGAACCCGTAGATGGGAAAAGCGTGAGTGTATTTTTTTATATTTGTGTTTTCCAGCATGTCGGAGCAGCATGTTGCAAGGCTTGGTCAAGCAGTTTAATTTACAGGTCATCTTCCACGATATTCCACAGGCAGTCGGAATGAAGCTCTTCAGATGATAACTGTAAACAACTTTGCGCACAATTTTTTTTTGTTATAGGCATTCGGTTCTCTAAACTGGATAACTTTGAGATGTTTTCTGAGAATCTTAAATGACCTATTTTTGTGTTCATAAGGTCTATGAAGTACTGGGGAAGGTCTATACAGGTAAACTTAAGTCTGTGTGCTGGTTTCCTTTTAAAAATTACCCTATTTATGTTATTATAGGACCGTGACTTTAGTATAGAGCAGGTTATGTTATAGTGAAAACAGGTTTGTAGATTAGTGTTGCTTTCAAACCACATGCAGTATTGGCAATGGTCTATCCCTGAAAGAACGAACATAGCTTCCATAGCAAGTAGAAAACCTCCAAGTATGGAAACCTTGGTAGCGCGTAAATTTGTAAAATCAGGGTTAGTTTGAGTATTACTGTTGGAATAGGGAGTATTAGAACCTGTAGTTATGTAAGGGTCATTGGAACTCATAGTCGTTTCACTCTACTGGGTGTTGTAGCGCTGAATAGGCAAGACGCTTCATTGTGATCAAAAGAATTGCAAGCAGTTTGTGAAGTGATTTGATTTGGTTTCATCTTTTGAAAAAATATTTGACAGGCATAAAATTTAGTTAATCGATCTCCGTTTCGTCAAATTTTAGATATGTTTTATATTTTTAGTAGAATGAGCTCCTATATAGTAGCATGCTGTGCTCACTATGCTGTACTTTTGCTCTAGTGTGCATTTCCAAGATGAGTTTGACTTTGAGTGCCGCGATTGTTATTTTGTCTGTTTGATTGGTCCATGATGCTTTTGGCTTTGTTAATGAATGTGATTTTAACAACTTATTAATGCTCTGTAATAAACGATTCCTGGAAACTCACGTTATTTCCAAAAGTGTTTTTTCTACGAAAGTATTTCTTCATGATTGGTGTGCATATACTTCTCTCGTAATTTTTTACTGCTAAAAAACCCGTTCTAGAAAGTAGGGGTATGGCGTCAAGGAAGGCTGTGGCTACATTGGCGAAACCTGAATTATATCCTCTCTACTTGTATAAACGCATATTGAGGTACGAAGCCCTTCATTATAAACTTATTCATTGATTTCCTTTTCCTTTTGTTTCTCACCTGTTGAGTATGTACTTATGAATCCAATCCTCGCCTAATTGTAAGTACAATTCGGTGGATTTATTTGTCCTACTCTCTTTCGTCCGGCTGATGATACCTTTTGTGTGGCCAAGCTTACTAGAAGGAGTCCCTCTTTTAACCGTTTCTGCCACAATTCCTTCTAAGCTTCTCGTTAACTTTTTTTTTGCTTTGAGTGAAGTGATTTAACAGATAAACGTGTTTCGAGTTCTCGCTCCGCACTTAAGATGAACCTACTTTTAGGCTCCATTATGGTCTACCTCCACCAGCTCGACTGATGGGTGACACATATGTGAAGGACGAGTTCCGTCGACACAAGGATGCCAATGCGGAACACACGGCTATATTCCTTAACGAATGGACGGTAAGTAGAATGATGGCGTGCTGGCTTTTCAGTTTTTTATAAGGTGACTCCTTTACTGCTCTCTTTTTTTCAGAAACTAGTAAAATAAGCGTCATTGTTGTCAAATTGCGTAATTAGGGCAGTTTTGTCGTTTTTTAAAAATTAGGTGACTGGGGATAGTTCTTTTTTCATTGAGAAATCATTTTTTTTGGGATGCGTCCACGCATTCCATTATACATTCATTCGAAATCAGAACACCGTTAGTATGCGTATTTGACCCACACGATCTTTTTTCCAGAGCTATTGTGTGACTTTGTCGAAGCAGCTGTCTACTTCTGGTATTGTGAAAGGATTTATTGGCAAAGTGGGTTTTGCTGTGTTTGCTTGATGCGAAAAGCGTGTTTCTATTGTTATCTGCATTCCTTTTTAGCTAGAATCTGCTCATTAAATCAGCAAATGATAAAATTCGGTACTAGAAATCATACCCAATCTCATTTATGATTTTCAGGACTTGGATCCAGAGAAGCTGGATAGTTTTGCCGAGGAACAACTTCGGCAACTGCTGGATCTTAAGCTTGAATCTGAGCGAATGAAAGCTGATTTGGTAAAGCAGAGTGAAGATTCAAATAGTTCGGAATCTATAGAAGAGAAACGGCCGCATGCAGAGTAACAGCCACCCGATCATGAGGGATCAGTAGCTGTTCGCGGTTGATTTTTGAAGGTAAGACTCTATTCGTTTCGAGTAGACAGTAGACAGTGTGAATCAGGCTGTTTCTGTACATCTCTCATTCTGATGCCTGATTCACCCATGCTATTTTTATGATTCATAGTCATGTCATATCTGTTGCTTTCCTTTTCTTTTAGACAGTCTCTAAGTTTATGTAAAGGTATGTAGGAATTAGAATTAGTAGGCTGCACAGAGCTCAAAGGAGGTCTTAGCTAGCAAAAAGAGAATTGAGCAGTTACTGTAGTTTCATTAGAGGTAAAGTAGCCTTTTTTGTCGGAGGCTCAGATCAAGATTTCTGCCCTAAGCTGACCTCATTCTATATTATCACTTTTATTAGCGACATGTTTGGAGTTCTTTTAAAGAGATTATTGTGCTTAGCATCTCGGTGACATTATTTAATACAGCATAGTTTACTAGAAAGCTGGTCATGTTTGTTTGTTGCGTCTCCTTGTTGATTGTATATTCTTTAGCATCGCTAGTCAACAATACAAAAGTTTGATTTAATTGGCATTAGTATTAGCGGGTTTACCCAAAAAATCTTGCCATCAAATAGCTCACTTTAGCAACTTGTGAGTGAACCGTTATTATACATCTCGACTTATACACTTAGAACTTCTTTTTCACTCAAAAAAAGTATTATACATCAGGGGCTTCCCCAGGGCCATAAGGTATGCTTCCCCGAACAGGGTAAGGTATGCTCTCAAGGAGAGCAGAGAGATAGATGCTCTCGGGGAGAACAGAGACAAGAGAGACCTGAATCGGGGCGTCCCAGCCCCGAACAGGAGAGCATACCTTACGGCCCCAGGTAGTGTTATCGCTCTCGCATGCAAAAATCGGTTTTGCTACTTGGATCCTGGAGAGGATCCGTTTAGTTGTTTTCATCTATCTTCTTTACACAGATTAGTTGTAGGATTAGGAATAAAAGGAGCATTGCTCATACTCCAACAGTATTGAAATAATTTATACACAAGCAGAAAATCGCATAAAGCAAGACTTGGCATGAAAACTCGGCCAGTAAAGCGTGGAAGCTACTATTTACACTTAGGACAACGGCTATTGATATGAGCGCATCACTGAGACCATCCAAATATGTAATTGATGCTAAAACCACAACGGACCCTAGAAGAACATGCCTATTCATTTACAGTAGTAATCCCTACAATGGCCTGACAGCCCGTCTAATACTTCTTTCCTAAAAAATATCCAAATCATCAGGAAATTCGGTAATTGAAGAAGGTCAAACTGTGACCGCAGATGACTTCCTTGACGACGTTCGCCTTGATGTGGTTGCATGATTCCCCACCGGATTGCAATACTGTTGACAGATCCAAGTTCCTTGTGGAGCTTCAGCTAAGCCAATGCAGTAGGTGTGGTATCCGCGATCGCATTTATCACAGAAGATCATGGCCTCCTAAAGAAAAATTTCCATCGGGTACTTAACACCATTTTTTTCAAGTGTATCCTTCATTTCGCTCTATTTAGGTATTAACGATTGAGCTCTCCTTAATTAGAGCCACTTTGGTGCAATTTCCACCACAAGCGCCTATACAGTTTGTAGCCGATTTGAAGGAGGCGCATGTGGTTAAAATTACACCAAAGTAGCTCTACATAAGGGAAATCCAATCGTAAATACTGATTCCTATCTCGCCTGCGCATATTATGGGTACAAGAATAGGTGGGTGGTACAATGGTTAGTACTTGAACTAATGCCGAGCCACATCTGACTCTTACCAATGGGTTAGCCTTGGATAATGCGGCGTAGGGACAATATGACTCCAGCAAAAAAGTCAAGGACGCTGCCGAAGTAATTATGCCATGAAATCATGCTATGGTTGTACTTCCACGAGTGTTTCGTCCGGAACCTGTTTATAAGAGGCAAAAGAGGCGGTTGAACAAACTATTGGGAGATATAAACCACCTAGATGACCCTGGTTTTACCACTTCGCTCTAACAGAGACTAAGTAACTTGAAATCAACTTACTTCGCGATCACCCATGCTGCATATGGTGCAACGCTTGCATTCTATACATTGCCATGGATATGTTGCAACATGAGCTGCCATTTCATCATTCATATCCAAACAAGAAGGATGCGATTGTAGAGGACATGATACACACCTAAATGCCCACAAAACATCTCGAAAAGAAATACAACCATTATCCCTTGTAATGAACTAACTTTACGAATACCTCCCCAGGTGCCATCGCTTCCTCGCATGTTGTACACTTTACGGGTTGGGATGCTGAGTTGGCTTTTCCGGAAGATCGTGGAGTACTTGCTTTTGAAGATAATGTGGATCCACTCTAAAGTAAAACAAATTTGGGGTGACAAACATCGGCAAAATTATTCTCTCGCTTTTTTGGATATATCGTCGAGATTTCGTAATTAGAACTCATTATCTCGGCTGGTTGATAGCCCAGAGGATTATAAGCTGCGAAGGTGGAAAGCTTTCATAGTGCCAAAAGTGTATCACTGTTTGTTATATCTTGTTAACTGACATTTTAGGCCGCAGTATTCAATGCGAAAGTCTCACAGGGATAACAAGTAATCGGCAGAACGCTCCGTCTTTGCGTTTTGTTCATAGCTTGCCATCTTTGTGAGACTTCAAAGGTAAATCATTGTCGAGAACGATCTCCTTCCATTGAGGGAGTCGCTTTCGAGGATGTTATCAGTCCTACAGGGGCTTAAGCTTAGAAGGAATCTTTTTGGCAGGTGCTAGGTTGAATTTAAAGCTCCTGTGGCAGCATGACGATCAAGAAGATTACAGTTGTAGTACCATATTTCCAAATCATTTCATCAAAAACATTTATATAAGCATAGAACGACATGAGAACCATAAAACGAGTAGTAAAACAAAATCGATTCAATATAAGAGATTAGTTGAGATCTGCTAGCACGTGCTTTGAACTTCCAAAATGAATAAAAAATCATTAGCCAACAATCCCGTTATTTTCTACAAGCAATGAATAGACGTAAAAGAAGGCTGAGCTTTCATGTTCCAAAAGAAAGTGTTAATGTTACAACAGTGAGAAACAAAACACAGAGACAGGAATACTAGGGTTCATCGTCATCGTCCTCTGCATAGGCCACGACACGTTTTGCACTGCTTCGAGCCTAAACAGCCATGTATCAAAAAGATTCCATCATCAAAACTGCATCCTCATGGAGCCAATGTGTATTGGCACCAATTCTTCTGAATCAAAATCGTTCCTAGGCTTCAACATTCTCTTTTTATGCAGTAAGCGGCTGTTTAGGCTCACTCAAGAGTGTGAAATTATTGGATTGCATCAAAGTAAGGATATCTTTGTTTGTTCCGATGAAAGAACTATTGCTTGTGAGGAAAACGTCGAATCAACACATTAGCATAGCAATAATAACATTTTAATGCAAAAAAGGGTGGGCGGACCTTTAAAAAAAACTTTAGCCGATGTGGAAAAGTGTGTCCTAGCCGAAAGCCTATATCATCAGAAGCGTTATTGTTTTAAGCCAATAGCCTAGTGAGTAGTTTTTCTATTATAAACATTATAAACAAAAATCCATGAAAAAATCTGTCGTACGAAAGGAGGAAAAACTATGAAAGTGTGGAAAAATATAAAACAAAGAATAAATTAGTGAATGAACTCACAGATTTCCGGGCTACCTCGGCTCGTGGAGTTGAAGTGTGTTCAACTTTGACAGCTGGTGAAGAAGATGCAGAATTATTTTGTTGATGGGCGGCCGCGAGTCTTTCAAACTCTGATACAAAAAAAAAATAAGGAATCTGAAGAAGGACNTCTCTTTGTTTCTTTCGATAGAAGAACTATTGCTTGTGAGGAAAACGTCGAATCAACACATTAGCATAGCAATAATAACATTTTAATGCAAAAAAGGGTGGGCGGACCTTTAAAAAAAACTTTAGCCGATGTGGAAAAGTGTGTCCTAGCCGAAAGCCTATATCATCAGAAGCGTTATTGTTTTAAGCCAATAGCCTAGTGAGTAGTTTTTCTATTATAAACATTATAAACAAAAATCCATGAAAAAATCTGTCGTACGAAAGGAGGAAAAACTATGAAAGTGTGGAAAAATATAAAACAAAGAATAAATTAGTGAATGAACTCACAGATTTCCGGGCTACCTCGGCTCGTGGAGTTGAAGTGTGTTCAACTTTGACAGCTGGTGAAGAAGATGCAGAATTATTTTGTTGATGGGCGGCCGCGAGTCTTTCAAACTCTGATACAAAAAAAAATAAGGAATCTGAAGAAGGACACGAAATTTTAGTAAAGCTCAATAAGGCAGTCAAGATGGACACATCAATTGTGAAGTACTTACTTTGCATGTCTCTCTCCGTGACATTGATAGGTGGCGGCGAAGGATCTCGATGCACTGCAAACAGGTGTTCGCCATCCAAAACACTACCTAGAGGAAGACGACGGAGTTCCGCTGATGTGAACCTGTCAGAATCATTTGAGAAGGCAATTTCAACAACGAATCTCGTATTTGGAAGTGAATTAGTAGCTTAGGCGCAAACTAACTTCCTATAATAATTCTGGTACTGCCCATGGATCAGAGCCACTGGGTAAGGATCAGGTTTGGTATATTTTGCAGGAACCTTCTTCCATTTGTTTGTAGCAGACTGAATAATCTGAAAGAAAGAAAATATGAACTGCAGTTGTGCAAGGTACAAAACTTAAGTTACCGATGTTTGAACGTCCCAATAATGTTGCCGCTCCAATTTTTTCGCTGACTGAAGTTCTCTATTGAACTCGGCAGCGCTTTTAATTGCTTTCTCACGCAATTCTGCCATTTTCTTCGAATCGTTTTTTATCTGAAATTTGGTAGTCGAGGAGAATTTATTATGGTAGTAAGGATATCTGTGGGTCAACAATCGGAGAAGCTACCTTATTTCACTTCAAAAAAAAAGGCATCTAAGGTTTTTCTTTTTTTCATGATCACCCTTTGAGAATTCAATGGTAAGCAGTCAGTGCTCAATAATGTGAAATAAAAAGCAAAATCGAGCAGACAAATGGCATGGATTGAGCAGATCAATGAGTTTCTAGAGCCACTTATCCATGTGATTGACTCCCATGCTCAAAACGATGCTGGTGTCCAGTTTATCTAATACCTCGCAATAAAAGAGACATAATTAGAAATCGATTTCGGGGTGGTTTGCCGAAACCACCAGAGCCTTTTTTAACATCAGCAAACTATATCAAGCAAATATCGTACCGCTTCCATTTCCTTTGCTTGCTCAGCCATGAGCGCTTTCAAACGTTCAGCCGTTATTTTTTGAAATTCCTGAAAAAGCAGCACTACTAAAGTGACGATGTACATATGGAGAAAAGAAAGATAATAAACAGTGAAGTTCTTTGTGATTGTAATGATCTCACCTGGTAAATTGCGGGGTATTCACTGGCCATCAAATCATGGATTTCAACAGATCGCATTGCACATAGATCTCGTAGTTCTTAAATTGACTGGATAATATCGATGTTACTTTCTAGCTCGTGCTAGATACCCGACAATCATATGTCTTAGACTAGCGCAGCACATTCAAATACTTTGGCTAAGGTATAAAATGAAGGTGGAGCTTACGATTGCCGTTGCGGTGAAAACTGCCTCAAATATGAGCAAAATGGAAGCAACATTCAACTGTGCACACGTAGGAATGAGTTGTCCAGAGTGACGTCATCTACGTGGGATCTGAAGGCCTGTGGAACTCACGTGTTTCGTTCATGGTTTGATGGATGTTGTACGTAGCACAGAGCCAGTCTCTTTCAACCTTTTCAACTTTTCGTCGGCTCATTTCCGGAAACTTCCGAGAAAAGGATTTTATATCAAGCAGGTCCCCTACTTGTTCCTGAAAAAAAGGTAAAACGATTTTGAGTAAAAGGCTTCTTTACAAAAACCTGAGAAATAAAAAAACATTGAAAGAAATCACCTGTAAAAAATACTTATCTCCAGACTTCAATGGCCATTCATACTCGATCAAATCTTTCACTTCAATCTGAAAACGACCTCTTCAAAGAAATGATGGCAAGGAAGGTATGTAAAAGACCGAACCTGTCGATGTGTCACGTCTGCACTGATGACTCTGGCTAAGGATCTTGGAGTTGATGGTACATGTGGTATTGTCGATATGGTACCTGGAAATAAAACCTAATGTGTAATCAGTAAAGTGTGTAAATCAAAACTTGATGTCGAATTAATTTAGGACATCGCTTCTGATGAAAATCGAAGATTTGCTTTTTCCTAGAAAAATTTGATGCAAAAAAGCAAAAAGCAAAAAAAATCTTAAATTCTAAAGCTAGTATGTGAAGAAAAAACAGACAGGAACTAACTTTCCGGAGTTTCTGTGATAACGGAATCGCTATCCGGAGCAGGGGGAACTGTAACAGATGGAGGATCTTGAATCGAATTTTCCACTGAGTCCATCGACTCCATTGACATGTTGCTGTCCTCGAACACAACCGGATTTTCTGGTGGTTGCATACCTATAACGGTCTCTTCACCAAATGTTGTTGACTGAGCAAAAACAAACCGAGTAGCTCGACAACATTGTACTATTTGTGATTAAAAGACGGTGGGATTGTAGGATGCGAGGTTCACCAATTCGCCAGCAATGAAGAACACCCAAGCATCCGAAGTACAAAAGAGCCTCGAAGTGACTTCATCCCCGTATGCTAGTTTTCTGATGTGATATCGATGATAAAAAAATGATGAACAATAAGTACAAACCAATAAAGAAGCGGTACTGCCTAAACACTTGGCACACGTCCAGAGTACGCAACGCAGAACGCAAGCCTCTTTTTGGAGCGCGAAAACTACTCATACCGACGTTATATTTATTTTCGGAAACATCTAGAACATCGTAGGACGTGTTTTTTGTTGTTTTTCCCCTCCTCTAGACATCTGGTTTATAGACTAGGTTCAAATTTATAACAAACAAGGTGAGACGATATATTTGAAGATCAGGTTATTATTTAATTCAAATCCTTTCTCTCTCCAAGTTAACAATCTTCATACCTTTTAATCGAACGATTGGAGGGAACGAATAGGACCTCCAATGGACTAATGAAGAAGCAATCTTAATTTCACAAAGTTTGACGGCTCCGCGAGCTTTGGGTGTCTGTAGATCGGGGATTCTGAGAATCGTCTGGTGCACCCCGCTTTACGCCACCTTTTTTAATTGCTCTCACGACAAGTCATAGCAACATCTATTCCATGTGAATCCCTAGCAAACCACTTCCTTTTCAACCGAAAACGGTCCTCATCTGGATTCCTCAACTCGATCTTGAGTTATAAGCTTAAATGAGTTGCACGTTGTGATGAACGCTTAACGCGTTCGTTTTCTATTCGGTAATGGATGCATACCATTTAAGGTAATGGACCTAATGGACGTAGACCGGCTGGATCTTTTTGACGACTACTCTTTACTAGATCTCGATGAAGATTCACTCAACAGTGTTTATTTCGAAGATTACCAGTGGGGCATTTCACACCAGGTTTACTTGTCATTCGTTTTTTGCCTTTCGTGTCCTCTCTTTTTCAACCAAAATCGAGTAAATCCTGAATCGAAAACAAGGTAATCCTTTGCGATTTGCGACATTTCGGCGGTATTTATGAACCTGGCGATTAGGGATCGTATTGAGAAAAGGGATTAAGTATTTGATTGTATAGAGAAAAGACGGCGCAGCACGGAGCGTTGAAAAACTGTAGCTTCAAAGTGAGCATAAGAATATATTTTGCCGTTCCAACATGTGTTATTGGCAGGAAGGGGGAAAGGTTGTGGCACTCGGCTCCTACATTTTCATTCAAGGCACAACCCTAATTGAATATACAAATCGTCACCCCTCACGTATACTATGCGTCGATAAGGGACCTTGGGACACAGGGTTCTCAGTGAGAGTGCGGTGGTTACATTACACCTTAAGCCTAGGAGCCTGTTGCCCGTACTGAATCATCGTTTCGTCCTACCCAACCTTCCATGCTTGCTACCTTCCGGTGTAGCTATCGCCCAAAGCACCGTACATGTAGTTCTTCCGTGAATTCAGAAGTTTCGGATCCAAACGAGATTGTGAGCCAAGCGAAAACTAGTCTTTCTGTTGCCCTTTAATATAATTTACTTTCTATCATTGGCTTATTAGAGATTGGACAATGTATTTCTGATTGCTTTTCATCGGTGCGGTATACTATCGGGAAGCTGCTCCTGGCCACCTTTCTGCAACGTCTCGTAACAGTAACTAGTGAGTTCAAAATTTTTCTCTTTTCATCTGCTGTTTGAAGTCTTTGAACTGACTTCTGCCCCTCTCCATTTCTTCTTTAGACGTTCCGACTTGGGTAAAGCACTTGTCATGCATTTTCCTCGGCCTTATTATTTTACCCGATTGGATTCAACGGAATGATGTGAGGATCGCAATAATTTTTGGCCTCCCGCTTCTGTTACTGGCTTTGTTGCAAACACCATTGCCTTCCAAAGGAGAAACTACTATATGCGCTTGTATCTTATCCATCGTCTGCATGTGAGTTTTTGTATTTTTATTACTCAGCAGAGTTTGTTCCGAAGGTCTTAGTGCTCCAAACAAAAACTCGAAGAAATTTTTGGACGTTTTCAGACAATATCTTCTCCCAGCTCATGATTTCTTAGCGATTCGTGGAATTCTGATGATATTTGCTATGAAAGTGTCGGCCTTGACATTCGACAGCGGTTCCAATTGTGAGACCAAGGACATAATTCCTATTCTGGCATACATTTTTGGTCCGGCAACTTCAGTATTTGGTCCTTTTCACACTTTCGACGATTATATGAATTCTTTGAATCGCCGGACAATCAAGGCAAGTGCTTTTTCTTTGATCTCCCTACTACTGAACTCTTTGATTTTTTGCAGGAGGAAGTGTTGTCAGTTCTTCATAGCATGGTCTTGGTCGCTGTAGCCTTTTGCTTTCTGTCTTACTCATCCTGTATAGGCATCTTATTGCCAGACGGTAGCATACTGACTGACTACATTACAGCGCAGTCGTTCCGAACCAGTCATTATTTCGTTTGTATGTTGTCTGAAGGTATGCTGTAATAGGAGTCAACCGTTAGGAAGAGAGTTATTTCACTTGAAGACGTGCATCACTATAAAGTGAAATTTAGGACTAGTCCTCCTATCTGGAATAAAGCTATCGACATGCTCACCGTTATCAGTCGAAGTTCCGCGATCTCTGGTTGAAGTTGTTGTTGCATGGAATATACCTATGCACAGGTTTCTTCATACCTGTAAGTTATACACAATAGCCCTTTTATGTTCAGTGCGCGGCGGCATTTCATTTGAGCGAGCGATCGTTGTACTGTCAAAGAGACTATTCGTTGTTTTTCAACGCTTTTATTGTCTCTTCCATACTTTGTATACTTTGTATAGCCCTTTTTCAGATGTTTATACAAATTTCATATCGTTTGGCAATGCACTATCAATTCTTGTCTCTTTCGCTGTCAGCTCTCTACTACACGTTAGTTTGTTTTTCTCTTCGCCTAGTGCTAATCGGATAGCGACTTCGAATCGTCTTTCCCTTTGTTGCAGGGATTCAATTTTCAAATCTCGGCTGTATTACTGTCGTTAGGATTCGCATGTTATTTCGAAAATTGTGAGTTTCTCTGATTGATGAGACATGAACGACTTACTTTCCTGTCTAGCCATGAAATAGATAGTTTATTCTACATCAAGAAAATATTTATAAAGGTGTTTTCCAGCTTTCCGGAATCGAATATCCAGAAGGTTTTCAATGTGCGTTCGAGCTCGGCCGTGCAGGAATTGTAATCACAGAAGGAAATCGGTATAGTTTCTACTGTTTTCGTGGCGCGCTACCCTAGGGGGCGCATATGTGCCCTCACCATGTGTTCCAATTGATTAATAGGTGTGCGACCAATGGTTCTCTATAAAACTGGTCCAGACGGGTAATTTGCATGGGAGCTCAAAGACGGTGCAAATTTGGATCGTATTCAATTGGACTGTGTAATTCTTGGAGCATTGTACAAAAGAGTTTGGTACATGAAACTCTTTAGAAGGGTTACTGAAATTGGCCTAGACCTTTTCTGTACTGATGTTTTTGCCCGTGATGAGACTGATCTGTGAATAATTACCGGTAGTTCAGGGGCACTGGCAGACATTGTTTATAAATGTGGTGTTTTTTGCCGTTTCTGTTTATCAACTAATCTACCTTGGTGCACCTTTTGACGGTGAAGGAGCTGAAATCGGATACGAGATGAGTCACACGGTTGCCACATGGAGACGTCATCGATTTTTCGGTCACGGCATCACTGCCGGTATTGCAGTGCTTAGTTTTTGTATTTAGTTCTTGCAGCTCTTCTAAGTTACACTGAAAATATGAGTGTTCTCCCTTTGTGTGCACGTAAGTAGGAGTTTCGGCGGCGGGGTCTCACCGGCTCATTTCTCTTATGCCGTCTCGATACTTCTGAAATTTCTCTTTTACAATGCTACCTTTGTCAAGTTTTCACACTCCCTTATGGCATGTGTTTTTGGAGCCAATGTCTTAGTGATTCATTCATAATAATATCATTCAGTCTGTTAACGTTGATCTCTACTATCGAGTGTCTGCTATAACTATTTGACCAAATTTTTCTGAGTTTTGTACGTGTTCTTTCATTAGCTGGTCGAGGCAATATGAGAACAGATTGTTTTTTTAAATTGCAGTAAACTATTCTTAATTTTTCAGCATTACTTGTTTGTGGTCATACAGCCATTGATATTTTTGAGAATTTCCATTGTTTTACAAGTGTTGCTGAGTGGTTTTATTTTTTTTCATCATTTTCTTATAGAATCATGGCGGACTCGCATGAGTCGCTCATGGAAATCGAGTCGGCACTTAATCACCTGTCAGAAGAATTGGACAAATTTGATGCGACATGGGAGACGAATATGTCAAAAGTTCTGTCAAGTGCCGATCTGTATGATCGAGAACTGCTATCTGATGACGCTGAACCGGAAATGTCAGTAACTGCCCAGATGTTGCTCGAAGAGATGGCTTCTCGTGGTGAAGAGACTCTTACGCAAATGCTTGCCCATCACAAATCTCTTCATCATCCGGTATCACAAATCGGTAAGGACATCGATAAATCAACGCACAAAGAAATCGGAGGTTTGATTCGTAACGAAAAAGATATCGAACGTGATCCAAAAGCCGAACGTCTCGTCAATGGGATGATTTGCGATTATCTGATGACATGTGGGCATACGAATATTGCGGAGACACTTGTGAAGGAGACAGGTCTTGGTGGACGAATTGATGGTTATCTCGCGAACAGAAAGATTATTGACTGGATAATGGAAGCCCTCAAAGCCCAGGATATCCAACCAGCATTGTCATGGTTACGGCAGAATCCCCACAGTGATACAAAACTGCAGTATGACCTACTGAAACAGCACATGATAACATTGATTCAGGATGGCAAAAGAGTGGATGCTTTGCGGTTTGGCCGCCAGTTGTCGGCTTTCGGGTACGAGAACGAAACGGCTCAAGTGATGGGTGCAGTAGCGATGGGCAAAGAACGCAATGATCCACGCTATGAGGCGCTTTTCAGTCCGTTGGCATGGCCCATGCTCGAATCAAGGATGTCCGTGGCTCTGGCTCAAAGTGATACCAAATTCCTGAACGTCATCCTGACTGGAATGCGAGCAGTACCGATACTTGTAAATTTGAAGCAGGTAATGGTGAGCCGCCAAGATCATCTATTCAGTGGAGAAGAGCTACCAGTTGAAGTGAAGATAGATGAGTATGTTCATTCGACGTTCACATGTCCGATTTTGCGTCAACAAAGTACGGATAGTAATCCACCGATGCGACTTACTTGTGGCCATGTTATATCGAGAGAGGCCGTAAGTAAATTGTGTAGTAATCATAGAAATAATCGTTTGAAATGTCCCTATTGTCCTGAGGAGTCTCATCAAAATGATGCAAAACAGGTGTACTTTTAAACAGATCTGAAGTGTGTTTCGTTGAATATAGTTGTAACCTTTAGATTTATCATTGTCAGTGTTGTACAAATCATTTGTTGTGGAGAGATGTTGTCTGTCATTGTCCCAGTTTTCCTCAGAGTTCTGCGAGCTTTTGTTACTGAATGTAGCATCATTTCATTCGTAGTTATATTATAGCTTCTCAGCTTTGTACATAGTGAATTTGAAATTGTTGAAGTTGGCGATAAATTTGTACATACTAACATTAGTGCTCTTCACGTGCTAAGGGTTCTATGCCCGATGTATTTTGTATTTCTGCTCATTTCTTTTCAAAATTGCGTTTTTTTTTNTTTTTTTTTTGTAAATTTAAGAATTTACCTGAGAGGTGCATAAAAAATAGGGTGGCTCGAGGAAGAGTTCTTCTTCCTCAACATTTTCAGGCCTGAAGTTTCTTTACGGATATTTTCGTTAGAAATCGTTGGTTAGCAACTTTAGACTGCCGAATTTGCCTATGTGTAATTATACCTATCTGCTTTTTTACTTGCGTATTATGGTGGTTGACCCATTCTAGTCATGAAGCTGCATGTAATGCGATAAAAACGTAGTAGAGTATGGAAAAGTACAGGGAGCAACAAACGCCCTGTATGTCTGTGATGCTAGATAGTCTAACGCCCCGAAAATAGCTCTCGTTGACTGTTGAAGGGGTGTCATCTTTGAAGAATATTTATTTTCTAATTACTAATTTGAGGCTTATGTCCGTTTCGTCAGTGTCGTTCAATACAGATGTTAACGTCAGATATGAAAGGCTTTCGGCTGAGTATGCAAAAGTAAGTATTTCTAGAACATTCTATATGTTTACCGTTACTGTAGTTCGGTGTCATAAAGCCACGAACCTGATCGTCGTTCAAAAAACAGGGTCTCGCAGGTTTCTAAACGCGGTCTTAAGTTTCGGACATTAAGAGCATTTCAGGCCAATTGTTCATCTATTCTGCAGAAAGCAGCTGTTATAGAATCTTTTTAGCTGCGATCCCACGTGAAGGTACTCAGCGAAGGCGTTATCTTAGAGAGGAAGAAGAACGATACTCTGAACGTTAGTACTGGAACTATTCTCGTATTCTGTATTGAGGTTGCGTCTTTTCGTGCTTGAGGGAGTGTTCTTTCCGTTGTAGGAAACCATAAGAGAACTGGAGGTACAGCTACGAAAAGTAGAGGCTGAAAACGAAAGTCTCACTTTTCGTAACGATCAGCTGGTTAAACGGGTCGAGAATCTTCAGGATGAACTTGAGACGTTAGTTCATGGTAAAGCAGGAGGAGTGAAGGTAGTTTGCTCGTGATTAAGGCACTGAATTCACCCTTTTTTTAAAAACATTCAGAAGGGTAAGTTCCCAAAGAAATCGAAAGACACGAAAGAGCTACTAAACGAATTGGGAGCGTTGGAGGGCCGTGTGGCAATAATGGAAGAAGAGCTGCAGAATAAGATTCGGCAAAATATGGAATTAACCAGCCAGGTAGCATTGTTTTATTGCAACGCAACATCAATTGTAGTTAACTTTTTATACAATCATTTACATGTCGATTGAAAAGCATCTGCCGAAAGTTTCGCAAAAGTCCAGCTTTATTCCGAAATCCTCTTGCAGTTCCATGGGGTTCTTTGTAAAGACAATACTCTGCGTATACGCATGACATATCTGGCCATCTACCCATGAGATGATCGAACTAGCAATCTTCAACATATCTTCACTTGCTTTTCCATGACGCATGACGTTGAAATGCATTGAAACTTGTGTCAAGCATTTGGCATTTGGGGCTCCTTTTAGACGGTGCTGTGCTCATCCCTTAGGCTCTCTTCCCAACCTGAGACAAAAAGTCGAATATGAACCTCGGCCTGGTGAACCCGTTGCGATACTATGAAATCTCCTGGTATGTTAATCGTATACAAGTGAGTAGCGCGTCTTGAAGTATAGTTTCTATGAAAAAGTCTCCCGTGAGAAGTCCCGCGAGAATTCTTTAGTGTTGTAGAATTTTCGGCAGATACTATTATAACCTTATGATTTCTCCAAAGTTTACACCAGGAGAGATGCTTGGGTGTTGTTGGAACCCATATAGAAATTTAGTGTAGAGAGCAAGCGGTCACTTATAAGATAATAGTACTAGGAATTGAACAAAAAGAGCTAAGGCAAGTTCGTAATAATACTATCCTCTCCCGCTTTGTTTCGTTTTATTGATCACTGTGTACTGCGAATTGCATCCTCCGTCTTTCTAGGGCCTGGTAATCAGGAGCATACTTCAGCATGAGGTAGACTAACTTTATGACAGTCTCAGCCCAAACCGGCAAAGGAGCACCAGTGTCTCACCAAAACTTTCGTTACAAAACATACTTGTGGCTGAACGGAATAATGCTCATATTATAGCTCTCGGAACGTGATGAAAAGAGAATTATGGTAATTATGAAAAGGAAAAGATGTTACATATTCCGAAGTTTCTAGAGATTTCCAGAAAGATTTCAGCTCTTATTTTGGAGTTGAAGTTGTTAGCATCTTTCTTCTCACCACCGCGTGAAATCCATTCTTCCAGATGAGCGAACTTGAACAGAAACACGCAATTGAATTAACTTCTCTATCGAACGAATTTGCTCGGAAACTAGAGCAGGCTGAAGCTCGCAGATTTGACTCGGATAGAAGAATAGAGCACAGACCCGAAAGGCCCGTTAAGTCGGTGAAACCACTTGAGCAGTCTATGGAGGTTCGTTAATCACACTGCGTTGTATTCCTGAAGTTAAACTTTCTTTCTGTTCAGATCAACAACATACTAGCCCAAACTCCATCACCTCAACCCCCGCCGATTGACGAGGCTTATCTTCAAATAGCAGAGTCAATCAGAAACACTTTACAAGGTACATTTTTTGATTCTCAGCGATTTTGTTTATTCATGGAGCAACCTCTTGTAGAATACGGGCGCTCCACCTAGTAACATTCATTTGTCCTATTTCGTGTAGGTCTGTCAACACTTTTCGAACTACTCTATCAGCGCACCCAAGTATATCCTTTTGATTCTTCCTTGGAACCTCTTCCTAGTCATGTGAAGAAGGTGAGGTTATATATTCAATAGTAAAAGAGCAGCGTATTCTTCTATGAAGGGAAACCATACATTTATAGTTGTCGTCGGAGTTAGCGCAATGCTCGCAATTGCTAACAGCACCGATTGATGCTGTTCAGCAGTGTATTCTCAGAGCTGAATTTGAGGTATTGGCTTGTTGCCGTTTTTTCTGAAATCCCTTAGTAATCATGAGGTTACTGTTTCGCTTAGGTGTCAACAGATGTTCCTCAATTACATTCTTCTCTCAAAGTTGTCGTGAAACATTGTAAAGTGATGATGCCGGAATTACTGAAGCGTCTTGCTGCTGAAGAAAACAAGGTAATAAGCCTTATTGAAGCTCGTCAAAATTGGAGTCAAGCATGGTAAGGTAGAGGTGCCCCCTCATGTTTGCCCTCGGAATACACTCCTCGACCTCCTTTCGTCCCCTCGACCATGTGGGGCTTGATTCTGTGGTTTCATATGGATGTGTCTTGCCGAACTTTTTTTCAACACTTGTTCTATGACTTGTCGTAGTTTATGGTGCGACTTTTTTTTGATGGCAATTTTTGCTACCAGCTTGGAACCCGTACCATTCGCTGAGTACCATTTTCATAAGGCATTATTCATACACAGGTCACATGGTGCGATTCTCAGCTGGAAGAATTGAACAATGCCTGGTGTGCTGGTATGGGTCGTCTGCTGGCAGTTATGGATTCAGTTTGTTCAGCATTAGCTTTGGCAACATCATCGGCTGATAATACAGGAGCAAAGCTATGTGAGATCTTGGAAGAGGGAAGTAACACCATTAGAGGTAAACATTCCTTCATATTAAGGTTTTCAGTATCCCTATTACTTTAAACTCCCTAACTAGCCGGGTTTCCTGCTTCTTTGAAATTTGGGGCATGGTTTCTATTCAGATAGGCATAATTGTTCAATATTAAGTTCTCGTATTTCTTCGAGTGTTGCCTTTTTTCTGACCTTCTTCAATGAGTACGCTTCTTGTAATCTTGGATACCCTAGGAAACTATAGAAACTCATTAGACCTTCCTAACAATGTTGCTCTGTTCTTCAGAGTGATCGAGGTTACCTTGACTTTAAAACGATAGAAGTGGATTCACCAGATAATGAGTACCCTTATTATCTTACGAATCCATTTCTATCGTTTCAAAGTCAAGGTAACCTCGGTGGTTAATGACCTCACTAAGTTTCTTTTTGCAACTTCTATCTGATAGCACTTTTAGAACTGGACAAAACGTTCGCAACTAGATGGGCGGTTGAATCGCGATTTCCGACGGCCACGAAGAGAATCTGCTGTGTTGGCACTGCAACTTCTCACTGTCTATCACGATTAGTGACTGAAGTGAGCAAACTAACTGCAAGAGTTCAAGCAGTAAACGGATTGGTTAGTTTTTATCGTTCACTCTCGTTTTCCGTAGTTGAAGTTGAAAAATCTTGCAATGTGTACGGATGCGTGTTTCATAGCCATGGTCCCTCCACATCTTCGACAACCCAAGACTTGTTAGAAACCATATTGTTTCTCGGACATGAGCCTTATTTCCATAACACTTATTGAACTCGCAGGAGCGATCGATAAATGCTTTCGTACGGTTCAGCTTTGCCATTAAAATGGGCTCCAAGTATAATCCAGATCGGTTCGAACGGAGAATCAGAGGAAACGGCAAGGAAAAACTATAATCTGTGGAACTACGTTTTCTTGTGAGAACCTATTTATATTTAAAGTTGAAGACGTGTTTTGCGTTTGAGATGAATGAGGTAGAAGACTAGGTAATAAAGCCCCGATCTCTTTCTGGTTCCAACTGATATTTTTGGATGGTGGATGAGCTTACCTTCCCCAGAGTTCCATTTCGATTTCTTTCTTTTAGTTCTTTTCCATTTTGAATGTGCATTTACCTTTTTCTCTTATTTCGTAGTCGGTTCTACATAATTCCTTCATTTTGTTCCCCATTTCCAGCTGGAGAGCGACGGAAAAAGCGACGCCACACCGGCGCGCACTGTACGTTCTCCAGACAACTACAATCCGTTTGAAGAAGACAGCGAGGCTGATAGTGTGGAGGAGAGCAGATCGACATCAGTGAAACCCGCGACTTCCAGTATAGGTGACGACTGCATATGTGTCGCGACATAGTCAATTGAGTAAATCAACTAATAAACCAAATTACATTTGTAGGGGTCGACACATCTGATCTGGTCAGCGGAATCGTGGAGTCGCTAGACATGCCCCACATACCGTCCAATAGCTCGAATACTTCGATCAGTTCAAAATCTGAAAGTATTTCTGATCATATCATGGTGAGCTTAATCTATTACTATGGTCTTTTTGGATTTTTCGCGGAAACTTGGGAACTTTCTGATGAATATTCCCACTCCCAGCATGCACTCCCAGGTTCTGTGATGTCAAGTTGAATAACTTTTCTTCAGGTTGACTGCTTAAAATCTCGTGTAAGTGCTCTAGAAGCTGAGAGAGAAGGTCATTTAGTCGATTTGTCTCTACTCCGTCGAAAACTTGCAATGCTTGGAGTCAAGGAAGTGGAGTAAGTCTCCATAAATTTGACATAAATGACCGACATATATCTTCTCTCTTAGCAGTTTCGTTTGCCTTTTTTTTGATTTTTTCATGCAACTTCTGAAACATTTGAATGAATACTGTAGCTTTTTTCCAAGAGTCATGATAGTCTTTTAGAGATGATAGACAGGCAGAGGTGGAAATGTTGAAGCAAGTTAATCGCGAACGCTTACGAGCTGTGGCAGACAGCTTGCAAACGGCTCAATGTGCTGCCAATTACTACAAAGGAGAAGTAGGTTATCATAAATGCATTTGCGATGCTTCCCTTTTGACAATCTGGTTCTCCTCCATTTTCCGAGTTTGTGCAGGGAAATAAGTCTGAGTCTGAGTAGTTTGCAGCCTTCGAAACAGTGTTCGTGAAAATCTGACACTCAAATATACCATAATTTTAGATAGTTCATTTGCACAGAACCGCTGTAACTTTGACCTGCGTGTAAGTTAGGCCTGGATGTAAAAAATTTTCGGTCTGCCTCAATATTTGCTTCTCCCAACAAGTGGTAATTCATTGTTATCATTGTTCTCCTGCCCCACCCCCTTCCCTCCCTCCCTCCGTCTCCTTAGAGTAGTGAACTTGAAAAATGAATCTGCAATGATTGAGGCCTCCCAAAAAATTTTGTTTTACTTTTTCCTAAACAAAAGTTTGTGTGTCCACGCTAAGATCGTTTCAGTGTAAAATACTTCTACGGAAGAATTTCCTCTGTATGGAGGAAAAACGAGTACTTGAAGAAACTGTAAAGGATATGAAAAAGGAAATCGCCGCGCTGAATGTAGGTTGAGAATCCTTCTCATTTTGAATGTTGTTTTGCTTTGGGTGATGGGTTGATTGTTAAGGATGAGCTGTCTTCTGTTCGACGTGGCTACGATGATCAACTGTCACAATTGACCGAACATGTGGCTGATTTGAATGGAAAACTTGCCGATATAGAAAGAGAAAAAGCAGAGCAGCGTGGTCCTACAACGCCCCAGAGAACTGGCGTGAGTACTTATCCTTGCTATATATGCATCTCTACTTGAGAGGGGTGACTCTACGTTTCGGCGTGAGTTTTGCGAATTTCTCCTATCCGCAGCTGTTCTCATTACGGTCTTATGGCAGTTGGATCAAAGGACCAATAGGGAAAATCCGTTCCCATATCAACAATTTCAAAACCGAAATTACGTTCACATAAGAACTTAACTCGGAACGCTTTCTATGTCCTCGGCACAATTTTTCACCCTAAGGANTGGCGTGAGTACTTCTTATCCCTGCATATATGAATCTCTACTTGAGAGAGGTGACCTCTACGTTTCAGCGTGAGTTTTGCGAGTTTCTCCTATCAGCAGCTGCTCTCATTACGGTCTTATGACAGTTGGATCAAAGGACCAATAGGGAAAATCCGTTCCCATATCAACAATTTCAAAACCGAAATTACGTTCACATAAGAACTTAACTCGGAACGTTTTCTATGTCCTCGGCACAATTTTTCACCCTAAGGACAGTGAATAGTCTGATTGGAATTTTCGTTCTCGCCGACCCATCTGTCTTGTGGAATCAAATAAGCGCTTTCTGACTTGGATGGCTGGTTTGTTCACGGCAATAAGCAAACTTGTTTTCCGTTTCATTCCGACGGCGTTTATTAGGCGGTGCGCCATAGACTTCGCATAGGTAATTTTTTTGAATCTGAATGAATGCTACAGATGTTCTTTTCAGCTGAAGTCCCTGTTCATGAAGTGATATGTTCTCGCCGTGATGGATTTGCGAATTATGGCGTTTTTATCGAGTTCTGATTCTGTGATCGAAAGACTTTTGGTAGGAATACCTACTTGAAGTGTGTTCAGAGTTTACGATTTGTTCAGAAATCAAACTGCTGTTCAGCGATTTTAAAGATTTTCGTACTTAGTAAGAGTTTTTCTAAGGTATGAGGGATTGTTTTGGGCTGTAGGAGTATGCTCCTTGTTGAATTGCTGGCAGTCAGCTGCACGGTGCTTCGTTATCGTTAGGAGCCATCCTGGCTTGAAGACTGCCCTATAGTCGCCAAGGTTTTTATAGACTGGAACAATGCATGCTTTTTAGCACCCTTCTAATATCTCGATATGTCCCGGACGTACTCTGAACGCAGTTTGATTTTTGTAGAACTTCGCATAATACATCGTCATATAAAAAGTGGTGCTGTTCTATAATATTTGCCCAGTATTATTATGTTATTGTGCACATATTTGTTGCTTTCAAAATTTTAGATTTTGCAGATGTTTAGACTGAATTGCCCTAGCTCTTCCTTTCTGTGATACTTGTAGTACTTTCATTCCTCTAGTTCCACAATACGGTATAATTTATATGTATAGAATAATGATTTTAGCACGCATTTCGAGATTAAAACATTTCTTCATTTCATTGCAATCTTGCATGAGCTCGATTGAATGTATCAGCGACGTACTTGGGCAACCTGAAGCAGTACTTTATTTTCTTTCGACCCTCCTGATCATCTGAAAAGGAAAAGTTCACCATCCCTTCCAAAATAATGTCAAGGCTTCTTTCTATTTTCTTTTCGGCACCAACAGCGCCGTACTGAATGCTTATTTGGTCCATAGAGTGACTTGCGATGGCCAGCTAATGTGAAAGTCAATGCTTTTACCTCTCAGACGAGTCCGATATCAATCAACCGATCTCGGGAACATGGATGGCTCAATCAGCTAGACAAGTACTTAAACTTGCGGTAGCGCACTCTTGCCACTACGCCACCTGACCTTGAAGTCTTGAAGCAAGCTATATGGCGTGCAAAAAGCAAAATTTCTGGATTCACATCATAAGAGCCCGAGCTACTTGATATTTAAGAGTTGCAAAGCTTAACCTACCTCATTGCTATTTGGCACAAAAATCTCATTTCGAATCAGATAAGGGTTCTTTTGATCAGGAAAGGATCTCAAGGTCCATCGATAACAGCGGCCCCATCAACGTCAACACTGTGAAATTCCAGCTCAGTTGTATGAACTGCTTCGAAACTTTGTGGAACAGTAGTAAGGGTGAGCGAGAATCCCGAATAAAGCGTTTGCCTGCGTGGGGCTTAGCCCCAATGCAAGGATGTTGCCGTCTGTCTGGCGTTGTCGAGGTAACGTTACCCGAAAAGCGTAGTGTTAAAGGTTGAAATAGGCGAGGTAAAGGTTTCGTCAAAATTTCGAGAGCGTTACGGTATAGAGCGTTCGTGGTGTAATGGTTAGCATGGAAGCCTACCAAGCATACGACATGGGTTCGGTTCCTTTCAAGGCAGGGTTTTTGCAAACGAGCAGATGAGTCAATTATCGGCATCAAACTGTCAATCATCAATGGGATCGGGAGGAATGCACTCAATACCAAGATAAAAAGAGTCTAAGAAAACGCTGAAAATATTGTTTCCCTTTGGAAGTGCTAATGCAAAGAAAAAAAAATTAAGAAGAGGGAATTTCATCACGAAATATGTTTATTTCAAAAGTTGTCTAATTGTGGCTCCATCCTTTTGACAATAATAATAATAAAATTATAATGAAATTAATAAAATCAAAATAACAATAATTAATAGACAATAAATAGTGTGTTTAATACAGTAGCGAAGTTGAGTTCCTTTAGGTGAGTCGCCGTATGTTCATAGGTGTTCCATAGGGATAAAGTTATCTGTAGAAGGAATTGGCTTAAAGGGTTTAGGGGTTTTTGAAGTGAGGCCAATCAAGTTCTACTAGGTACTGTTCCAAGCAGAGCTCAAGCTTTAAGAGCATTTCGGATAGAATATTTCCACCGACTCACAAAAACTTCTTAATCACTTCTGTTTTTTGAAGGAATTTCAATTTCAGAGCAGCCTCTACCATCCCATTTTTGGATTGTAATGCAGCTTTATTGCAAATACGCACCTTTTTGCTTAGATTTTTTTTATTATACTTTTATTTTATGGTGGGTGAGATCAGGTAGTTAAGGGTGGTCAATACCCCAATCTTCGAATTGGACCGCCCGTATTGATTCCCCACCCCCACCCGTACAGGCCTCCGCTCCCCTCCGTTTTTTTTTGTTTTTCTAAATGTTTTTTTTTGTTTTACTTGCGCCTTTATATATTTATAATTATTGTATGTTTATTTATGTGCTCTTTCATACAATTTATATTTGCACTCTAAACTTCAGGGTGCAAATATAAAACCTTGTCTCTCCTTGAGTTCATTCTCACTCGTACTTCATTCTCACTAGTAGTATCACAAGATTTTCAAAGGGTTTCCACTTACCAATTAGTTGCAGATATTCAAGGGATCTGCCTGACAGAACTCGTGTAAA